GAGTGAGAGAGAGTGAGACTGTGAGTGTGAGTGAGTGTGAGTGTGAGTGAGAGTGAGAGTGAGAGTGAGTGAGTGGGTGAGTGCCAGTGAGAGTGAGTGAGTGAGTGAGTCAGTGAGTGAGTGTGAGTGAATGAGTCAGTGAGAGTGAGAGAGTGAATGAGTGTGAGCGAGTGAGTGCGTGCGTGCGTGAGTGAGTGCTAGTGAGTGAGTGCGTGAGTGTGAGTGAATGAGTCAGTGAGTGAGTGAGTGAGTGAATGAGTGAGTGAGTGAGAGTGAGTGAGTGAGAGTGAGAGTGAGGGTGAGAGTGAGAGTGAGAGTGTGAGTGTGAGTGTGAGTGAGAGTGAGAGTGAGAGTGAGAGTGAGAGTGAGAGTGAGTGAGCGGGTGAGTGAGAGTGAGTGAGAGTGAGTGAGAGTGAGTGTGATTGAGAGTGCTGGGTTTGGAACGAAATCTACGATTCTACGCTTCGAGGTTCACAAAGTGCTTCGCCTGCCACGAAATCTGCACTTCGAGGTTCACAAAGTGGTGTGCTTGCCAGAAATCTGCGCTTCGAGGTTCACAAAATCCTGCGCCTGTCACGAAATCTGAACACCATGGGCTGGATCGAAGATTAATTGCACTTCGAGGTTCACAAAGTGGTGCAGGCGCTACGAAATCTGCACTTCGAGGTTGACAAAGTGCTGCGCCTGCCACGAAATCTGCACTTCAAGGTCCAGAAAGTACTTCACCTGCGAAGAAATTTGCAACCCAGCCACATGGCCAAAAGTCACGATTCACTGCGCCTGTCACGAAATCAGAGCGCCTCGAAGATCACCTCCATGACCTGCCACGAAATCTGCATTTCGAAGTGTAAAACTGCTCCGATCCCTTGCGCCAGTCACGAAAAGTGGACCACCAAAACACAAGGTTGCCCATGCGCCTGCCACGAAAAGTGGCCATCATGTCCGAAATGCGCACGGCACCACAACGAGAGCGCAGTCGCGACAAGCACCTGGCGCGGCCACCCAGATTTTGCGAGCTTGCGCAGTCGAAATGCACTTCTAGGATTTCGAGAGGCATGAATGTACTGTAAGCACCAGCGAATTAGCCGGACGCGCCCGCGCAACACCTCGAATCCAACGCCGGTGCTTAATTGCTACCGTAAGAAGCCCGGGGGTGTCCACACTATTTGGGGAACCATCGCAACTCCATCAAGCTCACCCGTGCGCGTGGCCTCTTGAAAGCCTCTGCAGCCCCACATGCCCCCCCAAAAATTATTTGGTTGAGGGGGGGCGGATGATAAGGCCACCTTCCTGTTGTAATGCAATTGTCCGCCATCATCCTCCACTTGCTTGCCTTTTGTCGGCTAGGAGCTGGAGAGTGATTCCGGCCAGCTGAAGCGGACGCTGCTTCAGTGTCAGCGTGCCCGAGCGCCAAAATCAGCCTTAGAGGCTTAACGCGCTAGTAGCAGGTGAGAGGCTTTGAACACCTGGACGTTTGACATCGTTTGGCTGTAAGTTGTATGTATGATATGGTGCAACCGACTGTATCCTAGCCTCTCACCCGCATGATGGCAGAACCGACATGAACGCTGGAAGTGGCAGAAAGGATTTGGCTTGTGAATGTTCGACAGATGCATTTTTGAGGGAATTTTTATTAACTGTGCTGATCCTTTTGTAGTGGTTCTTGCGTGTTTTTATTCTGACTATTTCTGACTCTTTCGATTGGTGGCTCTCCACACTTTGCAATCACTTACGCTGCCACTGCTAGTTTTTTTGGGTGGCCTGTGTCGAAAGGGTTTGTAGCCCCAGCTCCTTTGATGCATACCTTAGCTGGTGCATAGCGCGGAAAGTTCTTCTTACACGTTGGGTTCCCTGGCTGGTTTGCGTGGTTGCAACTTTTGTGTTCTTGGCGTCGGGGACCTCGCCAGCTTCATGTTGCTTCAATGGCCACCCCCGCTTCAAGCTTATAGATAGAGTATGACATATATATATATAATTAGTCATATTGCATATATAGATATATATTCTATCCACCCTCATTGTCAAGCTTCAGTTTTGATGCTCACTTTGGCAATCCTTTGGCCCCTTGGCATGATACCGGAACCTTGCAATTTGAGACTGTGAAGAGGACACCTTCCAAGTGCAGGAACGCCGTCAGCGAATTCTAATTGACATGATTCATCATGATTCTGCACTATTTCATCGTCACCGCATGCTGATTATTTTGCGCTCCACTGTCAAGATCCTAAGTCTCGGCAGGCCGAAGAGAAGCCGGAGGCCCCGCAAGAACATGTTTTGCGGCAGATAGTGCAACCCCAAATCCGTCCACGAAATGAATGTTAATCGTGGATATAGATCAAGTTGTCATCCCTCGGAGTGAGGAGCTAGGCTAGGAATGGTGGAAAACAGTTATACTGTATAACGAACTGACGAAGGGAGCAGAACAGTTCTTCAGGTGACGCCCGAGAGCATGGAGCATTCGATGACCCTAGACTTGGAGAGCATCGAGCAGCTGGATGCAGCCGAGGCATGACGTTGGTCATGCGAAGTTGAACCCGGCTGCCCCATCCGACCTGGCTCCCACTTCGCCCCAGTAGCTGCTTGGAGAACATGGGCAGCATGCCCTTGCGCACAGTTCAACGAAAGATGCGTAGCAGTTCTGTTACTCCCAGGCCTTGTCCAAGGCCCACGAAACGTTTGGCTCAAGGTTTGACGTGCTCCGCAACAAGCCGCTCTGGCGCAGCGCACCATGGCCGAAGGACCGGACCCCCGTGACGCAGAGCTGAGAGACTTGAACCGGAAGTTCGAAGAGCTCATGCGAAAAGTTGAGAACAAGGAGCAAAAGGAGCCCTGGATGCAGAAGAGGCGTTTCTTGTTTGATGATGTGCCCGTGATATGCCCATGGAAACCGCTCCTGATCCATGATGGGTTGTCAAAATGTCTTGCTACTGCTAGAGAAGATTCTTTTCATGACATGCGATTCCGCTCTCAGGATGATGGTGCTCTCCCAGACTGGTACCGCTTCCCAGACCCTCTGATCCCAAGCTGGCTGACTCACGAGTCTCCCTTGCAGCAGCCGGCGCAGCCCGATCGTTTGGCCTCGGTGATCGCGTCCCATGAGTGGCCAGGCCGTGGTGGATTCAACTGGTCAGTGTGCTTGCCCACTAATGGGAAGAGCTGAGACGGGCTCAAGACGGGATGAAACTGGGGCACCCTGGGTCCGGCAAAAAGTTGCATCATGCTAGTGACACCGGGAGTTGGTTGATGTTCCAGAGCTCCATCGTAGGCCCTTTGATCAATTTGCACCTTATCTCGGAAACCCAGGGGCCCCTTGAATGAAGTCTGACCTCAACAAGAAGAAGTCAGGAGCTGATGATAGGCTGTGCACGGACAGGAGCATAGCTTTCCGGACCAAATCAAGCACTGCGCCTGTTGAAAAAATGAAGCGGTGGGTCCCATACCTTTGCGCCGACTTCGAGATCGGAAGAGTGTCACATGAAACTGGAGACACAGACTTGAGACACAAGGCCAGAGCTTACGACTCATGCTTCGGAACCTGCAAGCTTCCTGGCCGTGTTCCAAAGGTTCCACTATAATTGGACCTTGAGAACAATTGCATGCCTTGTGGACCCGCCTGCCAGGCAGAAGGGAAGCGGAACCCTGAGCATGTTGGACAAGGCAAATGGAATGGGCAAAAGACGAACGAGGCTATCATTGATCATCATCATCATCATCATCATCATCATCATCATCATCCTCATCCTCATCCTCATCCTCATCCTCATCCTCATCCTCATCCTCATCCTCATCATCATCATCATCATCCTCATCATCCTCATCATCATCAGCAGCAGCAGCATCATCACGATCTACATCTAGAAGCTCTAGCATCAGGATATGTACTGTATAATATAAGCTGTTGACGATCTTTGCGGTCAATCTTGCGAAAGTCTTTGGTGGCGCATTGGAACACTATTGGCCGACCCGGTACTGACCTAAGGGGACCGAAAGACATGAGTTTTCCAAATCTTTCCACACTTTCAAGATTGCCGGCAGCAGCATGCTCGAGCATGTCCCAATAATGTTAATATGTGTTGCAAGTGGCTTGAGCAACATGCCACAAGCGCCCTCACTGCCATGTGTTGGATGCGTTATGTCGTGGAAGCAAGCTGTGAAGGTACTATTGTCCTTGGTGGCTGATCTCTAACCCTGTTGAAGTGGTCGTGCATAAGCTGATGAAGGATGTAGACTTCTGTGTGACACTATATAATTACAGTAAGCAATTTTTGAATATATTTGACCATATTTGACCCGAACATCCTCAAGGCATACAAGCCCGAAGTGTGGCTGTGGGCTTATACCACACGCCCAGTTGACCAGATGACTGACATGCAACCCTGGAAGGATGGAACCTGGACGTCGGCCCGGATCCCCCTGAGTCAGAGGGTCACTGTCTGTGTCGCTGTTATCCACCCGTCGTATCCACATGGAACGCGGGTGTTGGCCTTGGACTCCTGTTGCAACCTCCAAGTCAGCAAGGTCCAGCTTTCCCTCAGGGTCCAAAAATGGATGAAAAAGGCAGCAAGGAAGCCCAGACTCATGGCACCTGAAGTCTTCGTTCTCATGCGGCTATGCACATGTTGCCCATATAGAGCGTTCACAGAACAGTATCCCATGCAATCAATGGAGGGTAGCCCTGAAAAGGAATGCAGACGGAGGGAGATTAAGAAATGAGGAAAGCAGGTTTAAAACAGGACCACTGATATACTTTTGACTAGTTCAGACTCCTGGTCCTCTCCAATGGCAAAACCACAGTCGCTAAAGCAAAACGGGCCGGTCTTGAACTTCTGAGTGTCCGCTCCACCCACGGGCCACCCATGGGTCACCCGCCTGTTGGTCCGCCACCGCCAGCGTCAGCATTGCTCAAGGCCAGGACTGTGGCGCCGACGCGGGCCGGGCCCGCTTCTGGGCGCCCTGGCGGCGCGGCGAAGCTCCTCAGGAGTGGAGCTGACTGGGGAGCTTCGCCGGTGCAGTCAATCGGTTTTGAAATGGCATGGAGACATAATGGGACATGTGACATACTTTGCGGCAGAAATCTTCTAATTAGTAAACTTCTAGTCTTTGCACCATGTGAATGGGAATGAAGGGACGCTCTGCCTACTTGCAGGAACTTGGCAGCCTAGCGACTGTGAGAGCGTCAAGTCTTGAGCGTTTCATACTCCCACTTGTGTGCAACTGCCTGCAGGAATCTTCGGTGCAGGCTGTGAACAGTGGTTTGCCCAGAATTTCCTGGAGACAGACTGACAGGGGCTGCAGTCAGTGTTGAACCCCACAGAACTGTCTTCCAGGTGCTGTTCGACACTGTGGCTTTGATGAAAAGCACCATTTTGGGGTTCGACGTGTGCCAAGAGTCCAGCCCCCAAAGAAGGGCAGGTAAGCCACTGGAAGAGAAAGTTGGGCGTGCATCTTGGTGCCACACGGCCCATGTTAAAGATCGATTCCTGTGGTTCTTCGCAGGTCTTCTGGCTATGTACAATCCAGGACCTGCAATGAGTAAAATGATCTAGCATGAATTTGCATGAGACTTCACAACCAAAGGGTTTTGGTAAATGGTTTGGTTTTGGTCTGGTCTATGGAGCCTATGGGTTGCTCTTAGCCTGGGGGTCTTTGGATCGGATCAGTTCAGCACCTGGTCGATCGAGGCCTAGAGCTTGGGGCCGCCTCGCCCGAGCCCTGGGAGCCGCCCCTTGGCCCGAGGTATACTGGAAGGGTCTTTGGATTCCTGGGGGGCGGGAATCCGGTGAATTGATTTGGGGCCCTGAGAGGACACATGTGTGAACATTTCGGCTGACTCAAGCAAAAGCATTGGTGCGTGCCAGCATAATGATTTACTGTGTGTTGTCTATGTACTGTAGGTGATTGACAATCCCACCTGCGATCTCTGAACTCCTTTAGCATACGGACATGGTCATGCTGACAGACACAACAGGATCATGAATGGCCTCAGATTCCCCGTGTGGATCCCTTGAATTGTCTTATAGTGCAGGAATATTGCCGTCCAGATCAAAACGTCCTCAATCACCAATGTCCCACCGACTCCATGTACTAATCGCTAGTAGGTTGGAGGCCATTGCTCTTAGCAAGTCCTGCCTGAGGAAACGTGGCTCTGCAGGTGGGGATGGCTACGGAGCCTTGGCCTGGACATGTGCGACATGTGTGGCGACTGGGCTCACCAAGGTTTGGAGAAGACGGGACCTCCTCAAACCATTGCCCGCAGAGTCGCCAAAGACATCCAAAGACGCTTTTGCTGAGAGCCCTACGGGAGCTTCACATCATGACATTCCATGACCGAGTGGAGGAAGCCATGAACATGTTCACCCAAATAATTCGCACCGGTTCGAGCTTGGGTTTCTTTCCGGTTTTCGTTGGATGGATGATCTTGTTCTTGCATCTCAATTCTACCAGTCCAAAACTGAACGCTCGGTGACGAAGCTACCCTTGACCAGCTTGGCTAGGGTTTGGGAATGTTATGCACGCGTGTACAGTGTCGCATCCAATGGTCGCATCCATCCTTGTGCATTCAGAGGATTGGATGACCATGTAGAAGCACGTGGCTTCTTAGATGGCTTTATCTAAGGCCCGCGTCTCCGGACACACACACACACACATATATATATATATAACAGTGCATTGTGCACAGTCAGCTGTTGCCGTTCAACAACTGCAGCGTTTCCCACCGATAGGCCGCACCTTCCAGCTCCCTGGCAACTGGAGCAGCTTTTGGGAAGATGATGGTCCCTTCCACATTATGGGCCAGCAGATCACCGGCATTGGGTCGGATTTTGCTCGCTGGGCAACTCAAACTGAGAAGTATCTCACTCAGTTGCTACATCATCCCACGACTGGTCGGGGCTCGCGCATCAATCTTTATCAAGCACCACTTGTTGACCAAGGGAGATCCACCACCTGGCGAAAAGGCCATTTGGCCTACTGGGAAAAGATGAAAGTCCGGATCAATGTGGTGCACCACTCACACAGCACCCGGGTGGGACATGATTTGGTTAACATGCTCGAGGCCCTCCATCTCCATGCTTCTGAGACCATGAGTCAGGACCTCTTTAAGGCCCTCCTTGGGCATTGGATCCAACATCCTGAAAACGAACCCACCGAACTCCGACGTCTCATAGCCGAGGAGGAGCAGGAAGCACACAAACGCCTCTTCAGCAGCACCAACGATGAATACAAGATTTGGCTGGAGAAGGCCCATGAGAAAGGTTTGCGTGGGCTTTTCCGCAGTCTCCGTCAACGAGACATCCCATGGGAAAGGCCCTTTCAGCATCTTCCAGCTGACCAACGTCTCCACGCCAGAGAAGCTCAATGGGGAGACATTTGGCAGCCCCGCACAGATCCACGGCCTCTTCGCTCCTGGGATCTTTTGCATCAGGCTGCCATAGCTCAAGCGGAGCAGCTACCACCCTTTCAGTCATATCATCTGCAGCAACTGCTTCGGAAGCTTCCGCATAAAGCGGCGGGCCCGGATGGAATCTCCTATAACTTCCTCAGACATTTGCCCTATCCGGCGGTGGAGAAACTCGCTGAATTGCTCACCAACATGGAACGGGAAGGTGAACTAGCCGTTCAACTCCGAGCCACCAACATTGTGCTCATTCCCAAGAACAGCAGGGTCGAGCGTCCCATTGCTTTGACCAGTTGCCTCTACCGTGTTTGGTGCTCCTGCAGGAAAGCGGATCTTCAACGATGGCAGCTCACCCTGGACGACACTCTCCCTTGGGACCAAGCGAGACCTGGAAAAGATTGCCTCAGCATAGCCATTGGTCGCATGCTTCATGCAGAGATTGCAAAACACCAGGGCATTCACACGATCACGTGCTTAGCAGACCTCACCTGCTTCTACGATCATGTTGACCTTGACCAGATCATTGAGCCAGCCCGGGAACTTGGATACCCTCCTCTGCATCTCAAGTTTGCCTTGGACCTTTATCGAGGGCCCAGATCCATCCAAGCCGAAGGCATCAATGGAGATCCTCGCCACTATGAAAAAGGCATTCTTCAGGGCTGCCCTCAGGCTCCAGCAATCTCCAAGCTCATCCTCTACCGACCTCTCAGGGCTCTTGTCCAAGCTCATCCGGCTGTAGCTTTGCAAACTTGGGTCGATGACGT